CACTTGGGAAATGCAAGCTGAAAGTATCTACACTCATCGTACATGTGCTATCTTCAAGACTGAACTAGAGAATGAAGCTTCTTATGTATCAGCGGAGAGAAGAAATGAATCAGATGGGACAGAGACATTCATACTGAAGAACTACATGAACCCAGATCGGATAAGGCGGTTAACATTTACTACGTCCACTCAAGATCTAAAATGCGAGTGTGCATTATTTGAATCTAAGGGGTTTCCATGCAGACACATGCTTACAGTAATAAAAAATATGGGATACACCGCACTACCCTCGTCTTGGTTCAAGCTTCGATGGACCCAAAATGCGAAGACACTAAATCGTCATCCTGGAGTTGGAGGTGATGTGGGAGAGAGAGTTGGTCGACTGATAAGACATGGAGGATTGGCTCTAAAGTGTAAGCGTTTATGTGACATCGCGTGTGGTAGTGAATCTGCTTTTAATCATGTCTCTAAGACGTTGGACGACCTTACTCAATGGGCAATTGAGTTCGCGAAGGAGAGAGAAGACAACACCATACCGGCAAACCCTCCAGCACCCCTTCGAAGTGTGAAAGATCCAAAAATTGGGAAGACCAAGGGGACATTCAAGTCAGCATGCACTGCATCGGGCAAAAGTTTAAGAAAGTGTTCGAAATGTGGGAAATATGGTCATTTTCGCCCCAAGTGCCCGAAACAAAGTCCCAAAAAAGGATCTTAAATTTCTTCTATTGTTTTTTAGGAGTTTATTTATTTTTTAATAACTGTGATTGCATTGTATTTTCTTCGAATTATCTTAATAATTTATGAGTTAATTGATTGTGGGTTGAAATAAACAATTTGTCATAAACGGTCGACCTCATAACATTTCCGGTTGACCGGACCATACGCGGTCGACCGAACAAGTTAGTGCGGTCGACCGCGCATTTAATTCGGCCGACCAAACCGGTTGACCAGACCATCCACCCAAACCTCCCTCCATCCTCTATTTAAGAAACCCTCCCCCACTCATTCTACACCACAATCAGAACCCTATCCCACCACATCCACTCATTCTTCCTCTCCTTTCCCTTCTTCATCTTCTTCTCCCATTTCCAAAAACTCCATTTTCCAAAAACTCAAAGAAACCTTCATCCTCATCACTTAGAAGAAGAACAAGCTAATGCTTTTCAGTCTTCTTTTTCATTTGAGTTGATTCTTGTCTTCTTCCTTTTGTTTTCAAAAAATCTAAAGATGGAAAAGAGGGGTTTTTGCTTCTGTTCGTCAGAAGCGGTCGACCTGTTAATAATTATATATATTAGTTAGTCATACACAAGGTTGTGTGTCACCACGAGAGCATCGGGCGTAAAAGTAAAGCGGCCGGGACGAAAAATTCATTTAAAATGCCCCCGCCCTTTACCGTTCCATCTTCGTTCTTTTCCTTTTATGCAACCGAGAGAACAGCGCGAGCAAAGGTGTTTAGGGGAGCGTCGGGCAAAATTTCAAAGCTAAATTCTTGAGATATAGTGATCCTAAAATCCCGTAAGTAATGGCTAATTCATTTTTATATTGTAGTTTATCGATTTAGAGCTTTAAAACGAGTTTTTGGTTCATGAATTTCTTAAATTCCCAATAAGCCAAATTAGGGTTTCGAAGGATCCGGTAGCCGGATTGAGGCCAGATTTCATATACGAGCTAGCTTCCTACAGCGAGGTAATTAATCCTCTAGTTCTAATCCATGAATTTCGGCTATTATTTTGGTCGGAGCCGGAATCGCTGAATTTAGCTCTGACCAGGGTTTGATGTGTATTTATCGAGAATTTGATCCGGAGCCTAGTACTAACATTGACGGGGATACTGCAGGGGATATTAGGACAATTTCGGATTTTGATTCCGGGTTTGTTTGAGAAAGTGAAGTTTTAGTACAGGAGGTTAGTACCGGTGTTTGAACGACCAGAACTTGTGAGGGATTAGCACGGCATACCTGGTTTGTCGTATCACAATAATTATATTGATGTTTAGAATTGACCTAGGTGAACTAGAATGGCATGATTAGGGGTGTATCAACTTTTGAGCTATATGATGAACCCCGGACTACTGTATGATATTATTGACTTGCCCTAATCGATATGGACCTTGTTTATGCTAATGATTTCGTATATGGTGCAAATTGTGGGTTTGACTTTTGATATGCCTTATGATGGTTCGAAAAGGTGATTGTGTATGATTTTTCATGATTGATGTATTTGGATGTACAAGTGGGAAAATATATATCCCACGGTGATATTATGATGTTTTAAGGAGGATGACTTGCACGAGGGTTTATCCCGAGGAAGTGCAACTATACGACTTCTGGTTTACCTATGTTGAGCCAATTATGGTCAGGTCAAGTACATATGCAAGTAACGAATTATGATTAAGCAAAATGAGATATGAATCATGTATAAGGATACCAAATATGAGTGTTGTGGTCTCACGGCCAACTACATAGTAATTAGGGCTCCCTATGCTATTACTCTATTATGATATGTATGATAGTCACACCTCTCATGTGGTGGTGACTGAAGATTTCTTACGAGATATGACCACACCTAGAGCAGTGTCGGGGTATGACTACACCCATAGTGGTGTGGGGTATGTATGACCACATCCGACGGGATGTTGGAGTATGTATGACTACATTCAACGGGATGTGGTGTATGTTTCCCGGGAGAGTTATTAGCATGGGAGTGGTCAGGCGCCTATGATTAAAACACGATAAGATGCATATGCAATGATTGTCTCACTCAGCCATGAGCTGACCCTCTTTATCATTTTTCTCTGCTTATGCCATGTGTAAGCAGATCAGCAGCAGCAGCAGTAGATAGGTGTATAGGTGGGAGCTGAGCAAGAGTTGAAGGAAAGATGAGGTATGATCTTCAACTATTCTGTGCTTGGACTACTACTCGGGATTTTGGCCAGTGATCCGCACCTCTTTTGTAAAAATGTTTTCAGAATGTTTTTCATGTGCATACTAGCTTCTAGAGTAGTTTGAGATATCCACAAGTGTGGAAAGTTGATAGGTGTATATTTGTGTGGTTGTGTAAGTTGTGACGACTATGGCATGTATTAGTATGGTATACAGTTGTGGAGTATGAAAACTGTGACTATGGCTATGAAAAGTCAATGCACATGATTGTGAGTATATATGTTTGTGATGAATTATTTTGCAGGATAAGTTGCAAGAACTGTTAGCCCATTACGCGAGTAATTCATGTCGAAATTTTATTTGGGTAAATTTTGGTAATTAATGTAACACCAGTTTTAAATTCCGCTGCAATTGTATGAACATTATGATTAAGCAAAGCGTACAGGGTAGGGTGTTATAGTTTTATAAAACCAAAGATTTATGATGGAATTGGTCCATTATGGATTTGGACCAAAACTTCGTTTGCTTGTTGGATTTCATGATGGATTTTGCTGAAATATATTAGTGGGTATGAGATACCATTGACCTTGTTGCCCTTGTTTATAATTATTTGTATATTATTGTTTCCATATAAACAAAGCCGTTTAGAATTTCTTCGTATCTCTCCAAGATTTCAAGAGCTCAAAGCTATCATATATGCAAACAAACATGAAATCAATAGAAGATTTGTTGAGCATAAACTAATTGTCAGTTTTAAACAAAGTGCTTCAATCATTGTTAGTTGTTAACCAATACCCACTTACTCCAAATAGACAAATACAACTTACCACACATCATTAAACTAGTTGGTGTACCCTACAATTATAGAATTTTCATCTTTCTTTTTCTCACAAATTGATGCTTGTTAAGTCCACGCACATTCCACCATCTTCTTCGTGTTTTTCCTTCACGTTTTTTCACTCCTTCCCGGGTCTCTCGTTATCTCTAGTCTAAAGGGGTAGCAAAAATAAAGAGGACAAATTTGTCATTAATAAAATGAGTGGGGATAAAAGAGTAAAGTCCCATCATGGACTTCCCACCCTCACCCAAATCTCACCCCTTGGGATGAAATTTGCAAGTCTGTGAGGCCCACGGATTTGGACCATCAAAGTTTGCGGGCCCCACGGATTTATCTCCCCTAAAACCTTGAAGCAAACAATGGATTTTGTTCCAAGTCCATGAGGTTTGGGTTTTGTGCACCAAATCTATGATGAAAACCCTTAAGCAAACAAGGCCTAATATGGAACATCTAGAATATAATATTATAAAATTGCAAGTGAACTAAATATAACATCCTCAGATTATTTATATCGTGATAAAATTCATAGAATATATTTCTTCAGAGAGTAATTCAATTATTAGAACACATAATGATAATTTAAAAGAAGATTTCAACTAAACAATAAAAAAGTGATGTATTTCATAAGTCCAAAAGATTTTTTACAATAATAAGAAGTAGAAGGATCATTTCTGAAATTTAGAAAATGGAATATTCCAAGAATATTCTGTCAACTTTAACGGAATGCACTTAGCAGTAAACTTAAGTGGTACCGGGTGCACATATAATAGAGTTCAATGGTACCCAACGCCCTATTCAAACTTAAGTGGTATACCTCTCTCAATTCTCATACTTTAGTGGTACCCGAGATATTTTATCCACCACCTATACAATCCTTGCTTAAATAAATCTTAAAATATATTAAAACAGTTTTAGAATTGAACCTATGCCACATCAGCCTAAAACAATTTTCGTGTGTCCACGTCACTAGTTTTAAAAACAAGCCCTAGATTCTCTCTCCTAAACCGCCCCTAAACTCTCCTATTTTTTCGCCTTTTTTTACTGTAGAAAGAGGAGAGAGATATTATAGGATAGTTTTAATTTTTTTATAATTAGTCATCGAGAAAAATTAGGGGAGGGGAGATTACTGATTAAAAAAATCTTTCATAGTCATTTAAAATCTTAGACAATCCATCATAAAAGATTGTATAAACTTTTTATTTTTCTCCGATAGTTAAACATTTTTCCTATATAGTAGTACCATGCGAATCCACTTAAAAACAAAAAAAAAACAAAAAAAAGATGAGAGGAGCTCTCTCCTCTCTCCTCGAATGGCCGCGGTGGCTTGGTAGCTGTCTGCTGAAATTCCTCTCCGCCATCTTCCTGCTTAGCTTGCAGAACCAGAGCAAGCTTCGCTCCGGTGCTTCTGGGGATCTTCTGCTCAGCGATACTGGCAATGGGAACGTGCGATACTGGACTCGTTTTCCTACTCGTACAAGAAGAGCGCTCTGTAAACGTAAACGAGTGCAGGAGTGCGATGAACCTAACTCGTCGAGTGTTTTGACCTTATCAAATCCGAGACCTGTGCAAAAGCGCAGAATTGTTCGATGTTATGAATGGAGATTTTGGCTCCCATCGTCGTTAGATCTGGTAGGCGATTCTTCGATGTTATCCGTGATCGACGACTTTAAAAAAGATGTTAGTATCCCAGCGGGGAAAGCCGTTGACATTTTCGATCAGGGGGATCGGGACTTTGTGGCGGAGGCGATGGAGGTTCGCAACCTGAAAATCCCTCGTTCACGGCGTCGCTCTCCGGTTCCGTCGGCTAGGAAGTCTACAGTTGAGTTCCCCGGCAGGGCTGCGGGGGACGCACCCCCGAAATTCTGGGGTTTGGGGATTGACGGTTACTGGACGAGATCCTCGGACTTTGTTCCCCCTGTTTCCGCGGGATTGGGGGTTTGTTACCAGTATATCCCATCCCTTCGATATATTCTCTATCGTGACCCCAATCTGACTGGGAATTCTATTCCTACTAGACCTCCCTCTCTGCCTATCCCCGTTAATCCTAACCAGGAGTCTAAGGGGGGTCTTGGGACTTTATTTAAACACTTATCACCGAGACTGCTTGACACAACTATTTGTCAGACTCGGAATAGAGAGAAACCTGCTGCAGTTGGATCCTCGTCTTTCTTTCCTTCTTTGGAGAACTGCTCAGGTAATTGGCAGCAGTGCCTCTGGGCTCTGTCACCTACTCTCTCCTTTATCATTTTGCCGGTTGTCCATTTACCTGTGAAGCTCCCCCGTTCGATCTCCTCGACGGTCGAGGCGCTAGGGTGTGTTTCGCCGGTTTTTAATGCATCTGCCGTTTCCTGTTCCCAGGAGTTGTGCATTATGGCTCACGTAGCGGATGACCAAGTGATCCAATTCTCCCTATAAGAGGTGCAATCAACCCGTTTTCGCGCGTCTCGCTCGCTCCTGGGTCGACTTTTCACAAATGACCAGATCAGTACTCTGGAGCTGCGCAATGAACTGCTGGATGCCTGGAAGATCCGGGGCCAGTTGAAAGTCCTGAAAACTAAACAGGGGCTCTATGAGATCGTCCTACCCAATGAGGAAGCTAAGAAGTGGGCTATATCCCACAACCCATGGATTATCAAAGATCGATTATTAGTTCTTCGAGCATGGACTCCAGTTATCTCAAAAGGCATCTTTGAGGAGATGTCAAAAGCTCCGTTTCGTGTCCAGCTATGGGGAGTTATGGAGGATTGCTGTACCAAATTGTTTGGTCAAAAGATGATTGCTGTGGCGATTGGACCGGTGCTGGAGTCGCGCATTTTTGTGTGCAAGGAGTCAGGCAATCATTTTATAAAGGTCAACACTATCATCGACTTCTCCAAGCCTCTTCGATCGCAGCTGATGGCGGTTAGTGATGATGTTGATGGCTTCTGGGTGAGCCTCCAGTACGAATTTCTTCCAAGTTTTTGCTTCCGATGTGGCCGTGTTGGCCATGCGCGGCGCGACTGTGAGTTTGAACCGCCGAAAAGGAAGGAGCGATACGGCCCTCATATGATCACAAAAAAATTGGGCCGGAAACTTTATGAAGATGATGGTGCTGATCTCCCCCTCGGGGGCTCCCGGCGCTCGGTTTGGATTAACCAACAAAATCTTAACAATATAGTGACGGGAAGGAGCGAGTCGAGCTCAGGACATCGGGGTCGCAACCAGCCCCCGGCGAGGACGAGTCACCTGGCTCCTTCGAATGCCTCCATGGGGTCTGTTTCCCAGGAGGAACCGAGCTCACATCGTGGGAAGAGAATTGGGCGATCGCCTGCTCGTCGCGGAAGTCCGGGTGGGATTGTCCTCAATCGCCATCCTAAGCTCAGACTAGGGGGTCCTCGGCAAAAGCAGCGGGAGAATAAGAAGGGGAGGGCTGCTAATGGCCTCCGTGAAGCCGAGAATATGGTCTCTTCCCAGGAGTACGTTCCCATGGGCGATGACTCGTTGCAGGATCTGGGCGGTGACCATGATGATTTGATCCATGCAGCAACACGACGGCGTCGCCTGATCCTCGAGAAAGACTCGGATGATGACATAGTGGATGCCACCCATGCGTCGGCGGAAAACGTGCAACTAACTACGAAGGATGGGAGCTTGCTGAATCCTGGGAAGGGTCCTGTTCCTACGGTTACGGGTGACGGCGCTGGGAAGGGTCATGTTCCTACGGTTACGGGTAGCGGCGCTCCTGCGAAAAGGAAACCTCGTCGCCCAAAAACTCACCCACCGGTCCAGGCAGGTGAGCGAGCGGCTCCCCGGGCTGATGAGGCGAGGGTGGAGGCACCCTCGTTGTTGGCTGATATTGCGCCTCTACCTAGCCAGGTGGTTCCATCGGTGGGTAGTGCATCTGCCGTTTCCTCGTTGGCGGCGGGGGAAGGCACCTTGGCGAAGAGGAAGCCCAGGAAGGTGAAGGCGCCAATGGTGTGCTCGGTGGACGAGGGAGCTGTGCCTAGTGCGAAAGCGGCAGAGGCTTTGGGCTTGAACCAGCCTGGGCCCGCGAGAGGCAAGAGGAAGTTGAGGAAGGCCCATCTTCCTGCGGGGGAGGAGAAGAAAGAGCCTGGGCCCTTGTCCAATGGAGTATTGCAAGGGGAGGAGCCCACATGCGAACCGAAGATGGTGGGAGCCCATGTGCAACCCTATAGTACGAAGGCGAGCAAGGGGTCGCCCCATTTAATGGAGGGTGACTCGGAGGGGTCACTGTCGGGGGACGAAACCCAGTGCTTTGTGATCGAGAAAAGAATCCCACAGGCTGTGCCCCAGAATATCTGCACTCCGTCTAAGGGTCGGGTTAGCCAAGTGGTGGCAGCTTTCGAGGCAGGGTTGACCTTTGCGGATAAGGTGGTGGAGCAGGCCTTGGATGACGGCATAGGCCCTATGACTGATACGGGGAGTACTGGCCTCGTCGGGGTGGATGCTGGAGAACTTGATGAATATGGATCCAATTTGCTTACCCCGGGAATTCTGAAAAGGCCCTTGGAGGTCGTGGAGGGAGAGGTGGGTGTCCCGCCAACCCCCAAGAAACAATTCGTGGAAATTACTGATAATAATGAGAAGGTGGAGGAAGCCAGCCTGGAGTGGCCCCAACATGATAAATGAGGCTTCTTGCCTGGAATGTGAGAGGCATAGGGCCATCTCTTACATTCCAAACGGCCGCGGGGTTGGTCCATTCGAACAAACCGGAGCTCGTGTTTTTCTCGGAAACGCGTTCTAGCGGGCGTGTTGTTTCCCGTCGTATGCGGGGCTTAGGCTTTGATTTTAATCGGTGTTTTTTTGTTGATGATGTTGATGCGTCGGGGGGACTGGTGTTTGCTTGGTCGCCAGATGTTAATGTTTCTGTCATTTATTCTACGAATTTCTGTATCTGTTCCAAGATTAATGAAGTGGATTTTTCTTATATTGTGGGTTGTGTTTATATTAGTTGCTATGTTCCCGCTCGAGCCGCCCAATTGGCGCACCTCCAGGAACTCTGCTCTTCTTTCGATCTTCCCTATGTGGTTATTGGCGATTTTAATACAATCCTGAGTGCGAGTGAAAAGGATGGGGGAAATCCCTAGAATGCCAATAACTCAAGCAGCTTGCGCGATTTTATTAACGATTTGGGACTCCATGATCCTGGCTACCATGGGTGACCTGTTCACTTGGTCGAATAGGAGAATGGGTAGTGCTTGTATTCGGGAAAGGTTGGATAGAGCCCTCTGCTCCCAACCTTGGATTGATCGTTTCCCTGAAACTTTGGTGAAGCATTTTACGGACCAAGGATCGGACCATAGAGCTCTTCTCCTCTCGGATAAGCCTTATGTGCGCAATAGCCGACCCCTGTTCCGTTTTGATGCCCGCTGGGCGGAAAACCCGGAAGTAAGGGCTATGGTTACCTATGTCTGGAAGGAGGACGTCCAAGGAACTCCTATGTTCTGTCTTTGGGAACGACTAAAGAAGCTTCGCCACCTCCTGTATGATTGGAGTAGAGCGGGTACAACTAATTCCCTGCGGAATATCCGTACTCTTCAGAGCGAAATTGATAGAGTTAAATCGGTTCATCCGATTGACTGGGATATGGACCGGGGGCTTGAGGTTGAGTTGAACCGGCAATGGGAGGCTGAGGAAGTTTATTGGCAGCAGAAGTCCAGGGTTCACTGGCTGAAAAAAGGGGATAAGAATACGTCCTATTTTCACACAGTAACCAGGGCTCGGCGTAAAAGGAATTTTGTGGCTGGTCTTCGTAATGAGAATGGTGAGTGGATCACAGAGGAGGCTGGTAAAGCGGGTATTGCTACTTCTTTTTATCAGCACCTTTTCACCACGGAAAACCAGGTGGAGGATATGGCTGGGCGAGTGGCGTCTTTGCCCATTGCTCGGAGTGTTACCCCAGAGATGAATGCCGGCCTCACGGCCGCAGTTCTCCCTTCTAAGGTGCGTAAAACGGTGTTTGGTATGGGTTCAAAGCAGGCTCCTGGTTCAGATGGGTTAACGGGGAAGTTTTTTAAGGCATTCTGGGATATTGTGGGGGATTCGGTCACGGCAGCAGTGTGTTCTTTCTTTGCTACCAGTCGGATGCTTCGGAGTTTCAACCACACGTGGCTCACCCTAATACCCAAGGTGGACAACGTGGAATCGATGAGGCAGCTGCGACCAATCAGCCTATGCCAGTTCGTTTACAAAATTATTACTAAGATCATGGCAGAGCGTCTAGCTGACCTATTGCCTAATATTATATCAGAAGGTCAAAATGCTTTCATCAGGGAGCGCCAGATTTTTGAAAATGTCCTGCTGGGGCATGAGTTAATGCACTATCTGAAGATCAAAACGCGGGGTAAGAAAGGGTACATGGCTCTAAAGGTTTACATGGAAAAGGCCTATGATAGAGTCGAATGGCCCTTTCTCCTTGCGGTTTTGGATAAAATGGGCTTTAACTCTATCTGGCAAGGGTGGATTCGGGAATGCCTCCAATCCTCATCCTTTTCGGTGCTTATGAATGGGACTCCTTCAGGTTACTTCACTCCGTCCAGAGGGCTTCGCCAAGGGGATCCGCTTTCCCCTCTTTTATTTGTGCTCTGTACGGAGGGCTTTGCAGCGCTTCTTCGGAAGGCTATTATGGAGAAGAGACTAGAGGGGGTTAAAGTAGCTCCTCGTGCGCCCCAGATCTCGCATCTGTTTTTTGCGGATGATTCTTATTTGTTCCTGCGGGATACTCTTCAGGAGTGTGAAAATTTGATTGAGGTCCTGAATGAGTATGAGGAATTGAGTGGTCAACGGGTGAACTTGGATAAGTCTGCCGTCTGTTTTAGTAAGAATATTCTCCGTGAGGATCAAGAGTTCTTGGCTGCGGTGTTGGGGGTGGGTGCAGTTGGGGTCCAGGATAAATACTTGGGGCTGCCAACGCTTATTAGTCGGTCCAAGTTGGCCACGTTCAGGTATTTGGAGGAAAAGTTGCTAGAACGGCTACAAGGGTGGAAGCGGAGGACCTTGTCGTGGGCTGCTAAAGAAACATTGATTAAATATGTTGCTTTGGCATTACCACTGCATGTGATGTCTTGTTTTAAACTCCCTCTCTCCCTCTGTCGACTCTTGGATAGGCACTTGGCCCGATTTTGGTGGGGTGATGAGGAAGATCACTTCCGGATTAGATGGGTCTCCTGGAGGAATTTATGTCGCAGTAAGCACGAGGGTGGGTTGGGTTTTCGAAGGTTCGAGCAGTTTAATCAGGCTTTGCTTGCGAAGATTGGGTGGCGTATCCTCTTGGACCCCCAATCCCTGTTGGCTCAGGTCTATAAAGGCAAATATTTCCCTAATGGGTCTTTTCTTGAGGCTTCGGCTCGCTCTCGACCTTCCTGGGGATGGCAGAGTATTTTATATGGTAGGCAACTGTTGTTGAAGGGGTTGCGATGGCAAATTGGGAATGGCCAATCGGCGTCCCTGCTGCACTCTAACTGGATCCCGCGGCTCCAGCATGATCCTCCTAGGTTTAATCCTCGGGTTTTACCAGAGGGCGGGGACCCTCCAGTGGCGGTGGTCATGAGTCCTGGTGGGGGATGTTGGGACGTTGAACAGTTGCGCCGATGGTTTGACCCAGAGACTTGTAGGGCCATTCAGGATATCCCCCTGCCAAGGCGGAATGTTGAGGATAGTCTCATCTGGCATGCGACTGAGGATGGTGTCTTCACAGTTAAATATGCTTATCATTTGGCGGTGGACACTGATAGGAGACGGGGTGGGTGGCGATCCACGGTTGGGTGGATGGATAAGCCTTCCTGGATTCGGTTGTGGGACGCTAATATCCCTCCTAAGCTGAAGGTCTTTGTCTGGCAAATCTTCAATCGCATCTTGCCTACTACGGAGGCTCTTATTGAGAAGAAGGTACCGGTGCTACCCCGTTGTCCGGTTTGCTGGGCGAGTACTGAAACTCTGGAGCACTTATTCTTGGACTGTCCGGTGGCTCGGGGCCTTTGGGATTATTCCGGGCTTGCATACTTAGGGGAGGGTCTCCCTCGCCATACTTTCCCTTTGTTCCTGAAACGGTTACTGGCATTGATCCATCAGCCTCCTCTGTTTATGGCCGTGGTTGCTGTGCTCTGGCGGATATGGCGGTCGCGAAACTGGGTAGTCTTTGAAGGAAAGCAGTTTGGGTTCGCGGCCTTAATGCGTCAGTTTCAGCAGCAGTATGAGGAATGGATTCGTCTGCCAGTGGATAAAAACCCAATTATGTTGCCCCATTCTGAGGTGGCTTCGGGGAGGACCCATCGAGGTCCTGTTGGGGGGGGGGGGCAGGGTTGTGTGTATGTGGGATGGGTCGGTTCAGAGAGGGGCTCACTCAGCAGGTGGTCTGGTGCTCTTTACTCCTATGAGGGATGTTTGGATGGTGAAAGGGGTTTATTTTCCTGACCTGGATGACCCGTTTGTGGTGGAATTGCTTGTCTTGCGGGAAGCTGTCTTCTGGTGTAGGGCGCTTGGGCTTTCAGAGGTGCAGTTTGAAGGGGATGCAAAGGTTATTATTGATAAAATCAATCATGCAGATATTCGAGATAGCAGGGTCGGGGCTGTGCTAGAAGAGCTTCAATACTATTTTCAGAGTGTTGCTGGTTTTAGTGTTCGGTTTGTAGGTCGGAGTAGTAATAGGGTAGCCCATATGGTGGCTCGTAAAGCCCTCTCTTTGTACCCGACTATGAGTCGTTCTTTTGATTTCCTGGCCTGGCTAACTTCCAGGATGTAATTATCTATCTTTTGGATCAATATATGATTATCTTTTGTAAAAAAAAAAACATTTTTCCTATATAATCAAAGTCTAAGAATGATAACATTTATCCATATTATTCCACGGGAACAAAAATATTATTGTAAAAAGAAAAGTTCAAAAATATTTTCCTGTTCAAAGAGCAGGGTTCAACATATGTCTACGATTTAGTCAACATTTAATATTTTGTGATTATGTGTTGAGTATCTTGACTTATAAATATGCATTCCTTATGTTAAATAAAAACATTATTGAATTGAACATTGAAATTTAATTTGATAAATTAATCTATACTACATTAATCTTTTAACAACCTATATTGAGATAATACACGAGGAAACACAATATTCATGAAGAAACGAACAAGGGCTTGGCCTAGTGGTAACTCCATTAGCCTAGAACCTGGAGGTCCCAGGTTCGAATCCCTTAAGTAGTACCTTAATAGCAACAAAATGAACCTATATCACCCTTATCAAAAAAAAAATATTCATGAAGAATGCTTCACAATAATTGAGCAATCCAAGACCAAAATAGTTGAAAAATAAATTCAAATTATTATTAATATAAATCAATAAAAACCTCCCGGCCAATGGCCGGTGAAAAGCTAGTAATTATAAGGCCTTTTGAATTAATTTTGTTTTAGTTATCGACAATCAGACTTGGAAACTTGAACCGGTCACGTCCGCTCTAAAAATTGCCCGAAAATTTTCAGCCGAAAGCAACGGTATTACGCTACAGAGTGTTGGCGGTGGAGCCGAGCCCGTCCTATTCGTTCCGGTTGTGTGGAGAAGTGTTGAAGAAAGAAATATGGAGTCCTCCGGGAGCGGCGCCAGAGAAGATCTCCCGCACTGTTTTGTTTCTGTAACTACTGGCCAAATTCCCATGTCGACTGGGTTTAAAAGCTAAACTGGCCAGTCGCTCCTCTTTTTGTCTCCATCATATCGATTCCCCGTCTCGTTCTTTCCGCTCTCGCGCCCTAGCTCAGCCGGCCGATTCCGTTTCCCGCCTTGTCGTCTTACCCCGGAATAAAAAAAAAGCGAGAAGAAAATGAGTCTCGGCAGCATATCGTCGAAGCCGTTGAGCTTCTGCCTCCACACCCGCTACGGTCTCGCGAAGAACCAGCCGCAGCAGCGATTTCTGGCTCTCGAACAGCGGCGTTTGCGCTGCTCCAACCTCTCTTGTACTCCTCCCCGCATTTCCAGCTCGCTCAGCTACAATCCTCTCAGGTTGGGAAAATGAACTGACGAACGAACTTTCTTTCTGTTGATTGATTACGGTAGAGTGAAATTTTGAGCCTGAATTTCTGAGATTCTCGTGACGTTTTTTGTGGCAGTTTCGGAATCAAGAGAAATGATGAAGCGATTTTGAGGCAGAAGACGGTGGAAGGAAGGAAGAAGATGCGTACCGTTTGCTCCGCCGTGCCAGTCAGTACTGCTCGCAACCTCCAGTGGATCTCCACTATTGCTTCCATGTACGATGGCGCGCTTTTTTTATTTCTCCACTCTCGATTCTCTCTTTGAACTGTTTCACTATTTTCCGATGGAGTGGTGGTTTGGCTTGAGCTTTGTGCAAATCCTAATTCGAGGGTTTCATCTTCCAGAGTGCTGATGCTTTCCAAAGGTACTGCTGTCAACAAATGCCTTCTCGTTCCCCTCCTTGCGTTACAGGCGCCTACTGCTGTGGTCTCTTGGGTTAAGTAAGTTATGTAAGCTCGAGATTTAGTTGTTGTGTTCATCTTAATTGGAAATCTCTGCTTGGATGAAAATTTGCTGTTCTTGGTGAATTCCAGGGGTGAATATGGTATTTGGGCTGCATTTATGGGGCTTCTAGTACGCCTGTTCTTCTTTATTCCCGGTACGCTTAGTAGCTTGATTACTTGGTTTGTGCATCAGCTTATGCAAGTTCCTCCCTTGATTTTATTCTGTATGTGGGAACATATGTCTAACTATAGGAGCTACGGGTATCCTATCTATTTGCAGGTGAACTAGAGTTGCCATTTATGGCGTTGCTCTTGGTCATCTTAGCTCCTTACCAGGTTCTGAACCTAAGGTGGGTGGACGTTGAATGCAACAAGCCAAAAGCAACTGTTATCTTTCACTTTGTTCTTCGGCTTATTTCGTTTGCTTTTTTTGTCTTGAAAATGACAGAGGAACACAAGAAGGTGCCATTATTGGTTTGGCCATTGCAGCTTACCTGGCTTTCCAGCATTTTTCACGAGGAGGCAACATGCAGAAATCTTTTGAGCAAGGTTCAATCGTAGCCACTGTAGCTACCATCTGTATTGCAGTTGCCTCGTGCTTACTCATGCTCTGAACTTCGTATACACCGTAGTTCATTCTGTTATTGTTTGTCTCAGTTCTTAAATAAGGTTTGAGGTCAAGGGAAGAGACCCTTGTGTAATCTTGTTCAGCCTGTTACAGGGTGTGATCTCTTCGACATGCTTCTTGAATGTGTAGGATTTGGATAATTAATGAATGGGGAAGAAAATAGTAAGCTTTCTACTTTCAATCTGGTCGTGTGGATGTTCGTTCTTTAATACAATAAACTCCTGCTTTCTTAATATGTTGTATAATCCCTCCATCTCAGTTTGCTCTATTTATTCATTCCATGGCTTGAGCCTTGAGGTTACAGTCATGACAAATTTGTGTGCATGCCTATGTTAATTTAGTGAATTTATATAAAGCTGGGTAGCTCCATGGTCCCTGTGTTGGCAATCCATTATGTCTACCCACAATTATTGCTCTTCTTCTGATGAAGTATCCTGATCACACCAAAGAATGATTATGCGTTTGAAAGTTTCAGCTCCCTTTCACATTTCTGTCTTGCTCTAGCTAATGACAAGCAGTCCTAAACATCTGAGCTTGAATAAATTTTATTATTCTAGCACTAGAAGCTCTGTGTCTATAAGTACAAGTAGCTACAATATTCTATTGCTTCCCTCGTTATCTCCCTTCTTTCCTGCCCTTACTTGACTAACATTCTTAGGTAGGAGACATATTATAAATAGATCTTATGCTGTATAAATAATGTCTAGGGGATGAATCCTGGTGTCCTTGTTTCTTCCTTGCTTTGCTCCCAAAGTTCTTGAACAATCGCGGGCAAATAAATTGCCAGCCAAAGGTGAGACTATTCAGAGACTTTTTGAAGCTTTTACAGATGGTTTGTGATGATCAAGGATCCAAGAATGGCAGTTACTGAAAAGAGGATCAATAGGTTTGATGGAAGTGAGGTTGCAGCGCTGGGAAGACCAGTTGGCTCTGCTACACCGTATGTTGTTGGTGGCCCACCGAATCCTCCTGGTGGCCCTCCAAACCCTCCTGGTGGCCCTCCAGTACCAGCCATCGGTGTTGGTGGACTCATCGTAGTTGGGGGCGTAAATGTTGGTGGTGGATTCCCTGGCGGACTCATGCTGCAGATGCAAATGGTATTTATGAGTTCCTTCTTTGCATATCATTTTGTAAGGTCTCTTTCACATGGATTGAACATTACCTGGATTGGCCCTTGGACGATGAAAAGCGACAGCTCCCGTTACCTTCAAAAGTGCAAATAGAGGATCAGACATGAGTCTCAAGCATGTATAGTATTCACCAAGAAAGTATGCAAAAAGGTGCTAACAAGCAGGGTTTTGTTTATGGAACGGATGAAATCAGAAACTTCGAGATCATGAATATTCACAGAATATGGTCTTGATTAGAGGTAGCAAATGGTGTTTGGTTGGCTGTTTGGGGCTAAATGAGTTTGTAGGTTGGCGGGTTACTGATATTCATTTGAAAATTTATGTGGTTTGGAGGGAATTTAGGTCATCTGTTAGTTGAAGTTTTATCAGTTTGGCATTAAATTTAGAAACTACAGATGAATTAGTTTTTAATAGCTAAAAGCGAGTATCAAATGTGATTAACCGTTATGAGGACTGATTTGGTAAAGTAGATTTTACTTTAGACAAGTTTATAAACTCTTAAAGGTTAGATATGAAAATGTCATGACCTAAAATACCTGGCTAGTAATTGTAGCTGTGTGAAAACTAATGCAAATGTATGAAATTTAGGTGCTGAAATGTTTAGGTACTTTGCAGAAACCCATCAACTCAACCAACTTACCAACCGGACGATCGTTTGAAGTTTAGGTCAGACAGGTTTTAAATGGGTGGCTTGGGTTGGGGTTGGAGGTTTGGTTAGATTTTGCCACACCTATACTCTTGATTCACATTGCTGAATGGAATGGAATGATTACCTGAACTGAGTCTACTGTCAAAGGAGAATTTATGTTCTTACTTGGGTCAGTGCTGGTGAGTTGTGCAGCTCCACCAAAAACACAGCTGGTAGGAGATGGGTTCTTCTGGTAGTAGTCATTGAAGGCATACGAAGCATGATCTCGGAGAGTGTTTGGGTTGTAGCAACTAGCTCCCGACTGAATCGCCGAGCAATCTGCTCCTCCATAGCCACAAGCATAATCAAGTGCCACCTGCAATGCAGTTTCTGAAGCAGATGGACTCGCTATACACCACTGCCCCCCACCGCCGCCTCCGCCGCCTCCTCCTCCTCCTCCACCACCAAAACCACCACCACCACCACCTCCTCCACCTCCTGGTCCTGTTGGAGTTGTGGGCTGCGGGTTTCCTGACATAGGAGGGGCTGGAGGCGTTGTGGTGGGGATCGTAGTTGGTGTTGGAGGTGAGTCTGTAGGATTTCCAAAGGGAGTTGTTGGCGGGGAGTCAGTGGGATTCCCATATGGAGTCGTGCCAGGACTTGTTGGGTTGACGATGGGAACGGCACCTCCTGTGCCTGGACTTGTTGGGTTGACGATAGGAACATCCCCTCCTGTTGAGTCTAGATGGCTGGTGGACAGCGAAGAGGAAGAGAATGGTTGGTTCTGGTATTCTCGATTCTCTACTAGGTCGGTTTCCTCGATTGCTTCCAGTGGCGGTGGCTCTGCAACACTAGCTCCTGAGAAAATCAAGAATCAAGATAAGTTATAACTCTTCCTTTCCAATTAATGAAAGAAAATCTATGATATACTATGATCTGACATATGCAATTCGATTCTGGATGATGTCAGGAACCAGAAACAATTAAACCCAGTGGTGGATGAAATTATCTCTCACCTGACATTATGAGCAGATACAAGAGAGCGATTACGAAAGATTGAACAAGCCAAAAACCCATGTCGGCCGACCTGCTGCTGCTGTGGCTGTAGCTTTTCTATGAGGTGAGCTTCTGATATCCTTGTTAGTTAAGAGGAAGAATGATGAAGAAGTTAGGAGAAGGTCCAATGGCGTTGAGGCGAAGAAGAGTTTAAATATCATGCTTGCATATCTTATATAAATAAAACTGGGGAAAGAATAAGAGCTTCCTTGGATGGTAGATAAGAGATGAAAAGGAGGGGAATTTGGAGGGAAGGGGGAAGAGAATATCAGAAAACTTGAGAAAGGAGGAATTGAGAGATAGTTAAATTTCGCAAGCAAGACAAAGGTGCAGCAAAAAAGAAGGGAAAAGTATATGAGAGGAAAGGTTCTGTTGTATGTTGCAGAGTTCAAATCTGAAGGGGCTTTAGGGGATGCTTAATAGTTAATACTGGTATAAGATTACACTACATTAGAAAGATAAGTATATGGCCTGATTTTGCCTAGGACGAGGTGCATGTTTTTCCCTTTAGCACTTTGTGCCTAGCCTGGCCTTTTTACTGTTTTATGGGACTTAATCGAAAGTTAAAGTTTGGGGTTGTAGTTAGATTTACTTATGTTGGATACGCCTCAGGATCTGTAGCTAAAAAGGTTAAAAAAGACGATCTCACTTGGGTTCGTAAAATCTATGGATGTTAGGAAGACAAAAGTGCACATGGCTACCTGGCCAGACAAGAGGAATTGAGAGGAATACCTTTAGTGGAAGAAGAATATGTGCAGGAAAAGAAAATTGCAGCTTAGGATAGTACTTTAAATGGAATTATTATTAACCTAATTAATATATTATTATATACTAAGGAAACAAGCTTAGCTTGCTCTTGCAGTTTTGCTGCCTGCTTTGTTCTTTAAGATACGAATATGTGTCGTCGTAGCCGTACGTGTTTTGTTTTTATTCCAATTCTCCTGCTGCTGGAAATCTGTTACGTGACCTCTATGCCACTTGTTCTGGACCTTTTCTGAGCTGGTGTGAGTTTTCTTCATTCCCATTAACATTGCGCAGCAAGAAGAACCTATTTAATTCTTTTCTTTATCTGGTAACAACCTATTTAACTTCACACTTGCAGTCGAAAACTCCCAATGATACAGTTGCTAGTAGGGTAAAGAAAGTAAGGATGGAGGATTCTTCATGAGGATGATCGGTTCTGGGTTCAGCTCTCTAAGGGTCTTTACTCTTTACTTCCCCCGTTCAGACTTTCGTCAGGCTTCGAGAAGGAGTCGAATGGTTGTGTGGATATGGGCGAGTTTATGCGAAGCTGGAGAAGGTCTCCGAGTTGGGGCGAGAAACAACTCGGGCAGTGGTCAGGAATGTTTCTCTGCCGGAGGACCGCTGGATTCCATGAACGTCAACATTTTGCGTTTGACTAGTTTATGAATGCTGAAAAGCAATGGAACCTGGGCAGGTCAGAGAAGGTTGTCAGGCATCGAGATTGAAGCTTATTTTACGCATTTCGATTGGACCAGACTCTGCCCTTGACGAGCGAGCGACATCAGGAGTCCGCAATGAACAAATATTGAACAGCAGGGCGGACTATCTTGTTCGTTCATCGAAGAGTTTTGTAAAAGTGAAGGCTCTCGCAGTTGCTATCTTCTACTATAGTCATCAGATTGGATTGTTGGACTTGTTTACGGGAGTTGGACATGCCACTCTCTTGCTCATCCTTGATAGTTCTGAAGCTTTACTGGACCTCATCCCTGAGAGACAAGCTGCAGTAAAGTCTGCAAGAAGCACTCTTCAATCAGATTCTATTAGCAGTTTATCTTCAACCGGTGAATGATCATCTCCTCCAGTTTATGAACTTGGTTTAATATCACAAGGTCGCCCCTTGGAAATGTAGCATAATGTAGCATTACACCGAAAGGCCCCCCGGGTCGGTTCAAAACCCTTAAAAGTTAATCAACTCATTATGCAGAAGAGCAAAGAAACAGATAGTTGTAAAAGCCTACCAAATATCTGTGCCAGCAAGAAATGGCTATATAATCACTTAACGAATCTTCTGTATTTGCGTATCTCCATCCTTCGGCCTTAACTTCTTGAGCCAATAATACTTGGCAATGATGTGTGATCACCAGGCCGTGCGATTCTTCCTGAACAATCCCAGCTCCGTCCAATATTCGTATGATTTCCACAGTGTCCAGATTCACCAGTGTACGTTTACATTGCCACCTGAGTTTCCCTTTCAAAGAGCGGCCCCAACATTTCTCCACGCCAGCCGTTGTACTGCACTTTCGGTTCTGCTGGTCTTTCTGACAGTAGTGAAGGATCTACAGACGAAGTATTTATCCCTGTCGCCGAGTTTTGCACTGTGATAGGTGTTGGTTAACATCACTCCACGCTGCGTGAATCATGATACATTCACAATTTCACATTAGCAAGTTCTGATGGATCGGATCTGTACTTGTTGACAGCAATGCAAAGCAAAAACAAACCATTGCTGTTTCTACCTGGAAAATTTCGATAATCCGGATCGATTCCGTCACCATTTATGTCCAAGTGATTTGGTGTAACGTACTTCCCCACAGTGACAGCCACACCAGATCCATCATCCAGTTCAAAAACAGACTGAATTAAACCCTGCCAGGGAAAAAGGATATAACATGCCATTAAGGGATACTCAAATGAAACGGAATTATTCCCTCATTTCTTTTCACTTTAAAGACATCCAACAACTTAGCAGACTTTGAAAAGTGAAAGAAAGCCAACATGTCCAACCCAAAACTTGACTCGGAAGAAACAGGTGATATACATCCAAAGCTTGTAATAACACAATGATGCTAAGCACTAGGGAGGCAGGGATTCAAAGCCAACCTTGCCAAAAGTTCTTTCTCCCACAAGAACCGCTTTACAATTATCATGGAGTGCAGAGGCAACCTGAAATCAAAATCTCCTCTATTATGTACTGCAGGGGTAGAACGTTTTATTTTTCCCTTCAGGAAGAAGTTAACTTACAATCTCGCTGGCACTTGCGGTTTTGCTGTTAACCAACACCTGCAGTGGGAGCGAGTCCAGTGTTGGTACGACAAGATAAATCATATGTATGGTCGATCCAAATAAATGTGCATTATCAAAGAGAGGCTTTTTCAGACAAACATGCTGGGCAGGGTTGATCGGTTGCTAAAACAGTGACCTAGGAATCTCTACAAGGAAGCCATTGGAAATGGCAGCGGATAAAAAAGCACTGGAGGAGAAGGATTGCATACAATGACAGGAGTGGTCACCAATGGCACAGTGTCAGCAGCAATGGTGGTTTGGTACTGAGGATCCCTCCCAGCTGTGTAAATCACCTGTACAAAATCCAGAGTGATCGTTGTAAATATCCCTCCCTAGCAGAAAACATCTAAAAGGAAAGAAGGAAGTTCAAAGTTGAAATCCAAAAAGACTTGCATACTGTTTCGCCTTTATCTAGGAAAAGCTTGGCAACTTCAATCCCCGCCTGAAACAAGCAAAAGCATTCTATCAGATTGGCAGAATTTGCAGCACGTGGTGAACAAATGAGCTCGTTAAATGGTTCCTAACATCTGAAAAAAACACATCCAGAGTATGTATTTTTCTAGATCTCTGCTACTTATATGGTTTCAATTCTACACTAGACAACCAACAGCCTCGACGATATCTGCTAGAGGCACGTCCTGCCTTTGTACCTTCAAATTTCTATAGGAAGGCAGTACCACGCATGGACATTGGAATATGGCATGTAAGGATAGATAATTGCACTCACTTAACTTTACCAGAGAAGTAAAAGAAATAATGCAATCAAAACCTATACCTGCACTAATCCACCAAGATTATCTCTAAGATCCAAAACGAAATAGGAAGCACCCATGTCTTGCAGTCGCTTCATTGCTGCAACACCAGTGAAAGGAATGTCATCATTTTACACCCTGCTATGGCTATGTGAGCGAAGATGAATTAAAGTTGTGTAGGATTTGATGACTCGCAAATCAATTTGTAAAGATCCAAAAAAAAGCAAGGTAAACATTACCAATTACCAAATCTTTTCTTGCCAGTGCATTGAATTCTTTCAGGCGCACATAGCCAACAGCGATCCTGCCATTGTCTATCTGTTCCAACCGGTAAAAGACAGGTGTTTTAGCAACAACTTGCCTCTGAACATCCAGCGATTGAACAGGTCCACAATTCCCATGCTTCACCTAAAATCAGGGAACTAATCATTGGAGACCAAGAAGAATTGACAAGAGATGCAAAATGTGGAGCAGTACACTGACGCTAAGGCTTAGTTATTATGAAACCTTAATTGTCACAAAGGTTTCGCTCGGGCCTTGCAACAAAGATGACACTTCAAATGCTGATTTCCCCTGCACATCCTCTCCATTTACAGCCAAGATCTCATCACCCTGCCAAAGCAAATCCACCTCACTTGTTAACTGTATGCATTCCTCCAACCAGAAAGAAGTTAAGGCATTGCGATTAGCGAGTACAACATGCTACCTGTTTCACTCCAGCAGCATTAGCAGGGCCATCCAGCAGGACTCCCAATACTTTCAGCTTCACCTCTCCATTCTCCCCTACTGGCACTTCCCTGAGGTTTATTCCGATTCCAGTCATGTCAAACCGCGCCATCCTCGAGAACTTCCAAAGATACAAAATGCCGGAACAAGCCACCACAACAAGGGAAACTAGAAATCTCATTAGTGAAAGCTATACACAGGCTTCCAACTCCATATCAGACTATCAGTAATCCAGCAAGAATTTGTTTGGCAGAGTTACCTCGGCAGGGGTAAGAAAACGGGTGTAGGGATCCCCCAAGCTAGCCAACATCCTTCTGATTATCTCGTGAGCTCTGGATCTCGATTGAATGGAGCTGCTGAATATATCTTCCTTCTTGTGCTGCAAAAAACGCAGGTTTCAAAATTCTCACTACTAGCGAGCAAGCAGTCAATAAGGGAGACGAATTCTTTTTCTTTTCCCAACGTAAATTCGTCCGTTTATCTTACCTGCCAACTTTCCGGCGTCCAGCTATGTCGGCCGACATCGAGGAAGCTCCCATTGACGATCTCCCACGCTTCCTCCACAATCCTCTGGTTCGTCGGTACTCGACGCCCGGCCTCGACTACGGCTCGTTGATCAGCTCCTTCCGATGATGCTGCAGCTTCTTCGCGGCAGTACTCGGATAACGGAGCCGGTGAAGGCGCTTGTAGAGGTGCGGATTCCAAGGTCGCCGAAGCGGGAGAAGAGAGCACTAGACTGAAGGAGAGAGCTCCGGTCACGACTCCGAGCAAGGTTTTCTTGGCCAAATTATCCGCCAGTAGCAGAACGCTTGGGAGGTTTCTGTTGGAGAATCCCGGCGATGGCTCCGGCGACGGCGGTGGCGATGCAAGTGTAGCTGAACAGCTGCAGAGTAAACTCCTCATTATCGGTAATGATTTTCTCCTTTCATTTTCACGAATGAAGAAATTCGAATTGGTAGTAGTGTTTCCGTATCAGTTTTGATTGGTCTGGAACTGACAACCGCAATTCCCTAATCCCTATCCCTTCCAGACTCCAGTTCGTTCTTTGGGTTAATAGCTTTTCTGGCCCTTATGTTATGTTATTTTTATCAAATTAGTACCTGTACTTATTTAGGGGAAATAAAATAGTTTTTCTTGCCCTTGTATTTATTTGCTACTAAACTTGGGCTTGGAAGATGTGATTTCAAATGTGTATTATGTCAATTCATGTATTTGTGAGATTAAGTCGTTTTTGTGGTTTATATTGAACTAGAATACATGCATAACTTTTTGGACGCCCCACCACAATCACTCAAAATTAAGAGATTATCAATCTCTATTTTTTGTTGAGATTCTTCTCAATCACTCAAAGTTAACTTTTGTGGATTTATAACAAAAACAAAATCTAAACCTCCAAACAAGATATTTGCCTAATACACCAATTGAATCAATACATCAAATAATAATACACTAATTGACTCAATACATCAATTTGAAAAATCACAACTTCCAAACGACCCATTAGATCCAGTCATCCAGCATTGGGCAACAATGAAGGACCAAAGGAGTTATAAAGACAAGTAAATGGAGTTTTCACAATAAAGACAAGGTTCAATGACGGAGAAGCCTACTAGTAACCACAAGTAGAGCCTAAGAGAAGTCCAACGGAGAAAGACACGGCCCAAGCAGAAACCAACGGCGGCCCAACACTGGCCCGTTGTTGCCCATGGAAACCTAGACAAAACGCAATCAAATCTTCAATAGATGTTATCCATGGGCTAAGAAGACTAACCCATGAAGAAAATGTGTGGCAGTCGTCGCCAGGAGGCTCAAGCCCAAAATCGGATCTTTAGACCACGACTTCGGTCCTGAGTCAAAGAAACTTTGTCCTAGTCGATTTATGAGGGTTTTGCCCGAGTGTTATCCCTATAAATAGAGGTAGGGGTGAACAAACACACCCGCAAACCGACCCACCCGTCCAACCCGACCCACCCCACCCGTATTTATCGCTAAAACGAAGGTTTTGGGTTGGGTGAGGGTTTTCTTTTGTACAACCCGCATCTTTTGGGTTGGGTTTGGATTTTGGATTACACAATCCGTGGAACCCGACCCAACCCGTGTTCCAATATTAGTATGAGTTCGGATCTAAAAAATATTTATGTCGTATATAGTCATATACTTATGAGAAAATTAAGATATTTCGGCATGTTTTTCTCTCATGGTCTCCCTAATCTAATGCATTCTTCGACTTAAAATTTAGACATAAATTGAATATAGTTATAATTCACGTAATCCTTTTTCTAGTGTACAATTTTAATAGAATAACATATTATGGATGCGTTTGTTTATAACCATTTTAGCCTATTTCAACAAATATTGTGAAAAAAACAAGGCATATGTTTGAAGTAGATCACATTTTATTAAAATTCAAACAACATTTGTGAATTTTGATACCTTTCACCTCGGTTCATTCGTTTGAAATTTTACTTAGTTATAAAATATTTTTAAGATATAGAATAATTATATATTTTATGTTGGGTTGGGTTGGGTTTTTTACTAAAAAATATCGCCAATCCGACTCAACCCAATTAGAAACAAACCGTAGGGTTTAAATTTTTTGGGGTGGGTTTGAGTTTGATATTTCCCAAACCGTAGTGCATGGATCGGGTAAATAAAATGATTAAACCCGAACCACCCGACCCATGTACACCCCTAAATAGAGGGTTAGGCTCATTCGTTCAGTAGCCTGCACAAACTAAATTCAAACCTTTACATACTCTGACAGAGTAAGAGCTTAGCTTTCGTATGAGATGGTGCAACTAGGGACATGCTTTCATCATTGATGGTGGTATCCGACTTTTCTTCTATGTTGCTAGTTCGAATTTAAATGTATGAGAATGTGAACTTGTTATTGTTGTATGTATTGATGCTATGATTTCATATTATGTATGTGTTGATACTTGTTTTTTGTGCCCTAAATGTATGCATGGATGTTTTATGTTTCAATGCTTACGTTTATGATTTTGATGCTCATTTAGTTCAATGCTCTTTATCATCGATGCTTCTATAGTGTGTTGTCATATGCATTGTGCTTAGTATCATCTACATTGTTAATAAATTACCCTCTATTGATACACCATTAATGTTACACGGGTACAGTGGGAATGATCAACCATGTATACCTCGAGTAGTATCAATGATTGATTGTTGATTAGATCATTGATGCTATAAACCATCGATTATGGTTCAAGAGGCTCACACTTAATCACGTGTTATCATAACTTTCTTGTTCTTCATTATTTAGGTAATGGCATGAAGTGAAAGCACTCATTAGCTAGTTCTATCGCAAAATGCACATGCACGGGTAGAGAACAGCCTTAGTGGAAAGGTGTAGAGTGATGCTATTAATGAGTCATTGATGCATGATAAGATTGAGCTTTAGTATGCACGAGGCCACTTTTTCATAAATACACAAAATGTCCAATTCAGTCAAAAACTTTAACGAAGTTTAGTTTAGATGCTGACTAGACTAACGTTTTTGCTAACATGGCGACACATAATAAAAAAATTATTGCTAGGTGAAATTAACTAAATTCATCTGCATAGCCATGATTATCGGTTTTATGACAATAATAACCAATTTCTAAAAAATACACAAAATATCCAGATTTTGAAATAGATTGGAAAATTTAGCCACTTTCGTTAACAAAATTTAACGCCATTAGAGATTATGTCAGTTAAATTAACAAAAACGTTGACGAGAATGCCACTTTGACGCACACATCATCGACAACTCGAGATAACATGCCACATTGAGGCGAATTGGAGGTGGATGGTCTTTCCTTTCCTTTCCATTTTATTTATTTATTTTCTTATATAGTTATTGATATGTAAGTGAATTTATTTAATTCCACCTTACAATGTTTTTTTATTTATTAAGGGGACGCTTGGAAGTTGGTATTTAAGATGATGTTTTTATCCAATACATGTAATCAAAAGAACTCTTTTTTTTTTTGTCTTAAATTGAAACAAAATACTTGTATTTGAATTGCACATGAGACCACCAAAATCATTTATTATGAATGGTTGTCAATCTCAGCTTTTAGCAAAAATTGTGTTTGGGGGATTGTTAATGTTATTCACTTTTCCTTCCATATTTTTTGAGGGACCACCAAAATCATTCAATCTCCAAATAATGTATTTTTCAAATTCATGAATTGAAACAATGCATATAATTATAATACACATATTGATTAAATACATCAATTGAAAGAAGGCAAATACACTTTCATAGTCATAACTATTTACGTTGTGACAAATATAACCAAATTAAAAAAAAATATAGTCATATAGCCATTCCGTCCAAAATTTTAGCGACAACGATGTAGATGCTGACTAGACAAATGTTTCTCTTACATGGCGACTTTTTCTCAACAAAAATGCCAGATGGAAAGGTTACTTTTTATTTAATTGCAAATACATGAAAAAGTAAATGAATAAACCAAAAGAATGAAATATCATCTCTCGGCCTCCTAGCTCCGACAAACACCCTCGCGGCCTCGCCCTCCCAACTCCCTTTGCCTCCTCCCGTCGATATTCCAATCTCTTTCATTATTTCTTCTTCCTTCTAATTTACAAGGACACCCACAAAATCTCACCGCTAAAACCCCCCATCGAGCCTGCAATTCCATTTCCTTATTCATCCGACGTGTCTATCTCCTCATTACGCTCACACGGCCTGAACCCTTGTTGTGGAAGCTCTATCCCTCTGATCTAGAGCTTGGGAGGGTAGTTGGGTCTCGTAGCGACGAATTAGATGAGAATCTGGGGCAGTGCCTGTCGGTTTGAAATCGGACCTCCTTGAGATGACGATGATTGCAGGGAAGAGGGACTTCGGCAAAGGAGACACGACGGCGACCCGATTTTAGCAGCTCGCTTCTCTCTAGGACCAGAAGAATCAGTAGTGGAGTTATGGGTTATTCTACATAGAACCAGAAGAATCTGATTTGAAATCGGGCCTTTCCCTGTCGCTGCTGCAGTGCTCATCCTTGCCCACTATGTGTTCGTCGTCTAGATCTACACTTCGAAATTTTGAATCTCGGCAGTTGCATTTGATTGTGATTTCTTATCGAATCCACCATGGGATTCGGTTTTCCCTAAAGAATCTCGGCTTAAAGCTCTATTGGAGAACTGATCTGGTTGCAGCAGCAGGATGATTATCAATGGACATGAAGAGCAATGGACCTGCTGCTGCAGAGGAATGAGAAGAATGAAGAATGTCTGCAGATCCCTGTCCCCGTGTGTTTGAAACAGTGGCGTTGTGCCTTCACTAAGTGTGAGTCCAGAACGCCGCTGTTTCCCTGGATCTCACAAAGACATATTGAAGACGACATCGTTTGAGGCTAGAGTTACAGAACAGTATCTATTCGTTAGAATTAGCCAGGTGTCGTGTTCTTAGTCGTTAGTTTCATTTGTTTGTTACTAATTACTGTTTAGTAGCCGTTAGTTGTTCTTCCTAATGTAAGGCTGTACATATATAAATGAGAAAGCAGAAAACGAAGGACTCAAGGATTTTTGAGATCTCTTCACCAAAACCCTAGCTATTTCATTTTCTTCTTATGGTATCAGAGCCTGGTTGCTCTTAGCACAGGTCTCGATCCTTCGTTTTTTTTCTAAATCTGCGACACTAGCTCACCCAAAACACCACAATGTCAGGCCAACCTTCTGGCGTTGATGGATCTGGAAACACAGAGACTGATGAGTCGATTTCAGGAAACACTACCCAACGCGACACCCCAGCAGCACAATGCCCAGACTGGAGCCGCCGTTAATTTTACCATACCCAGATATGAAGATCCCTATCTTAACCCATATTACCTTCCAGCCCACGATGGAGGTTTGACAACAATCATCACGATGAAGCTCACAGATCAGAACTACAACCTATGGAGTCAGGTAATGGAGCTGGCTCTCACTACAAAGAACAAATTGCAGTTTGTGAATGGTATAATTTCAGTACCAGAAGTGACGGATCCTATTTGGGCATCTTGGCATAGATGTGATAGTACTGTTAGATGTTGGAT